GCACATCACCTCATTTATTAGCTAATCAGGCAGAATTCAATATTTGAAATTATCTTTCTTAATCCTGCATGTGATCCTTTGAAAACCCAGGGCTCTAAAAATCTAATTGTAATTGCTTACCAGAAATGTCATCTTCACTTGGAAGAATTGAACCAAGGCCAAATGTGAGGCTGTTTTTTTCTGTTTTCCCAAAGTACTGTCCCCCAGGACTGGATATGCATTTACAGGTCCCCAGTACCCCACATTCTAGGACTCCCTGAAGAGATGTGGGCACTAGTCCTACTTTCAGACTCAGATATGACATAAGACTAAAGGTAGCGTGTGGCCATGGAGAAGGGGACATGGAAGTGAAGGAACAATAATTTAAGCCTTAGCAAAAGTCAAGAGAGAAATGTCTGAATCTAGATAAGAGTTGGGCCTGGGCAGGAAGTAGTCCCTCTGCCCAACAGGAAGGGAAGGCATGATACGGCAGAGCTTGCTTGCTCATCCATGATCAGGCTTTTTATCTTTGTACCCTACACCTCAGCCCCACTTCTCAGTGTGACAGCGTGGGGGTGAGCCCGTGGTCAGCTCCTTGCCTGTTTTCCTAGGCTGCTCAAGTGGTCTTCCCGAGACAGACCTGCAGGACTCTGCTGTAGATCTTCCAAGTGCCTTCCACAGAGTGGGTGTCTCCTGGGGAAACCTGAAACTATGAAGAGATGAGAAAATTACCTGGAATCCAACTGTCCCCTTGGCCCCAGTGCCCATCACTGCTGGAAGTAGGCAAGGGAATGGAAGAATGGTATGCGGCTCACAACCTGCTGGACATTAGCCTGCCCTTTGTATGAACCTAGGGGTGCAGGTTGTAGGCTGGTGACATGCACTTTGTGTGTTACCTGTCCTGATGACATGTGCTGTGTCTGAATGAACTATTAGCGGCACAAATACCTTGTGTGTGTGTTTGTGGTGGTTTTTGTGTGTTCAGAATACAGTAGAATAGAGTTAAAAGTTTAAATCTTTAAAGCGAGTCCCTCTTGCTTTCCTCGTCCTACTTCTATTCCTTTCAAAATATATAAAGAAAAGTGCTTTATACAATGGTCCACCCCTGAAAAAGGTATTTGATTTGGGGATAGAAGGAATCCAGAGTATATCTTCCCTGAGAGATTCTCTAAAAATTAAAATCTTTATATTCCTTTCTTCTCTTGGTCAAAACAAACCAAAACTGGAAAAAGAAAGACTATGTTTATAACTACTAAATAACTTTCCTGTTCGTAGTTAGAAAAATCCTCCTCCTCTATTTAGCCTTCTCTATATTAACTTTTAGTGTTAGAATATAGAAATCTAATCGTTAGACCACATTATAAGTGACTATAATTTGCTTCAAGTACATATATTGACTGCTTGCCTCACTAGTCCCAAAGAACCAGCTTCAATAGGAACCTTGACTGTAGTATCTCACTCTGCTTGAAACCCACCTCTGTCTGTCCATGAGCATAAAAACCCAAGCCTTAAGATTATAAAGACCACAACCCCCCCCCCAGGACAGCCATAGTTCATGCACTTAGCTTTCTGCCTCTTGTTTTTGGATTCTGGAAAAATCCTCTAGTTAGGCATAGTTACAGTGAAGAGGTTTCTGTTTCATCCTGGGCATCTGGAGGGTTTTCAGGTCTCTAGGCCACAGTGTTGCTTGAAAGAGGAGGTTAAGTGGGGTTTCATCGCATCCAGTGACCACAGTCAGGATCCTTGGGCTGCCTGTCAACTTATTCTCAGAGCATTCTAGGAGTTCCAGGATTTATTTAACAAAACGTGCCTCTAGAGCTGGAAACAGTTCTTTAAGAAATGGAAACTTCCTAAGGTTGTGGCTTAGCAGTAGAGTGTTCGCCTAGCACATGAAGGGGCCCTGGGTTTGATCCTCAGCACCACATAGAAATAAATAAACAAAACAAAGGTATTTGTCCATCTATAACTAAATATATATAATATTTAAAAAAAGAAGTGTGTCACATTAGATTGGGTAGAGAGATGTAATGGGAAGGGAGGGGAGGGGAAGGGAGGATAGGAAAGGCAACAGAATAAAATAGACATTATTATTTCTGTATGTATATAGGTGAGTGTATGACCAATGTGATTTCTGCAACTTATACAATCAGAAAAATGAGAAATTATACCCCATTTGATTCAAATGTATGAATTGTAAAGATCATTATATTGTCATGTATAACTAATAAAAAATTCATCAAACAGATTAAAAAATAAAATTAAATTAAAAAGAAATGGAAACTTCCTCAAGATACTGAGGTAGGAAGATTGCAAGTTAAGACCAGCTTAGGCAATTTAGCAAGACTCTGTCTTAAAATAAGGGCTGGGCCTGTAGCTCAGTGGTAGAGCACTTGCCTGATATGTGCCAGGCACTGGGTTCAATTCCCAGTAATGTAAACAGAGAGAAAAGAATAAAAGAAAAGGAAAAGGGTTGGTGGGGGGGGGTATGAAATGAGAAGTTCCTCTACAGGAAAGTATGGCAAAATAGGGTGATGAGCTCCTACTATGAACCCATTTATTCAGCGCACTTTGAAGTTTCTGCACGCCACACGTGGGACACAGGCTGGTGTAACAGGTGTAGTAAGATAGCCCCTGGCCACAGAGAGCTTGGAACCTAGAAGAGTATGCAGCCCACAAGGTCAGAATGAGAAGTGCAGAGGCAGGGATGCCCCTGGGTGCTGTGGGAGCCCAGGGAACCTGCTTGAGAGGGGAAAGGAAAGGGTAGGCAGAGGGATATGCCAGAGGCAGCTTGGTAGGGGGTAGCCGGGAAGAGTGGTAGCAGCTCATCACACACCTGGAAGGAAGGAGGAGCTCTATCTGGAATGAGTTCAGAGTACAAGAAAAAAATGCAGGAGCTGTGGTGGTTGTGGCTGAGTGGTAGCGCACTTGACTCGCATGTGTGACTCACTGGGTTTGAGTGTCAGCACTGCATATAAATAAATGAATAAAATAAAGGTCCACCAACCACTAAAAAAAAATTTTTTTTTAATGCAGAAGGGTGAGGTGGAGAGAGGACAGGGATGGGTTGTGAAGCCTTCACTCCACACATCCTCCATATTAGGGGTTAATGCTTTCTTCTAAGGGCAGGGGGAACCATTGAAGATTTTAAGCAGGGGATATAATGGGTCCTACTTTAACTTCATAGAAAGATTAATGTGGCTGTAATATAAAGAAGAAATTGGAAATTATGAGACTGGAGGCAGAGAAAACAGGCCAGAGGCTGCAGTATTGATCTGGGTAGGAAATGATGGCAGCCTAGACTGGAGAAGCGGCAAGGGGCATGTTGAGCAGAGGGTATGAGAGCTCTTAAAAATTTAGAAGATGCAACAGTAGTTCATTTCCTTAAAAAAAAAAAGTGGGAGGAGGGAGACTAAGTTAGGTGGTCATTTCATGTTTAAAATAAACATTCTGGGGGCTGGGATGGGGCCCAGAGGTAGAGCGCTTGCCTTGCATGTGTGAGGCCCTGGGTTCCATCCTCAGCACCACATAAAAATAAATAAATAAAATAAACGTATTGTGTTATGTACAACTAAAAAAAATTTAAAAAAAAAACAAACAAATATTCTGGCAGTCTCAGTGTTTTTCCTCATGTTTTTGGTTTTTTTTGGGGGGGGGGGGCGGAGGGGAGGAAGCAGGTACCAGGGATTGAACCCAGCGGGCACTCAACTACTGAGTCACATCTCCAGCCCTATTTTGTATTTTACTTAGAGACAGGGTCTCACTGAGTTGCCTAGCAGCCTCGCTTTTGCTGAGGCTGGCTTTGAACTCATGATCCTCCTGTCTCAGCCTCCTGAACCACTGTTTCCATTGTGAGTATCATCAGTGGTTGCAGGTAGCATAGGGAGATACCCATATATTTTACAAAAGATAAAAATCTCAGGCAATTTCCACATGCTTTTCCACTGGGCATATATACATGCCTCCCCATTTTGGGGAATCACTTATCTGCATAACAGACAAGAATTTGGAGCAAAAATATAGCTTTCATTTAAAGTAAGTAACAATCTAGGCATGGTGGCACACACCTGTAATCCCCGAGGTTGGGGAGGCTGAGACTGGAGGATTGCAAGTTCAAAGCCAGCCTCAGAAACTTAGCAAGGCCCTAAAGGCCTAAAATTACAAAAGGGCTAGGGATGTGGCTCAGTGGTTCAGCATCCCTCAGTTCAATCCCTAGTGCAAATAAATAAATAAATAAAGTGATAACATTTGAAGGAAGCTTTTGCAGTGTGACGCAGTTCAGATACTGTGCCGTACCGCACACGCTTTAGATACTAGCTTACTGTCAATAGAAACACGGCCTCACGTAACTATGCTTCCTTCCCGATGAAGTGACAGATTGGCCAGCATGTGATGAATTTGGGTTGTGTAGATAAAAATACAGGTGTCCCAGCCAAGGCATACAGTTTGCTGTGAATCACCCACATCAACTTTCAGGACAGTTAGAGTCACAGAACAATTGCTCAGTTCCTTCCTTCATTTTCACAGTGTGGACCTGGCTCCAGACCCAAGAGTGAAGCAGCAACTTTAAGAAAGCAAAAACATTATAAATAACCCAAAGAACCCTTTTATAACAGCAACTGCCTGCTGATTTTGTGGCCTAACAGCTCAAGCAGAAAAGGATATAAATACAATATTGTGCAATGACTAATTACTCAAAACTCTGTGCATCAGCAGAAGTGGAACCTGCGGTTGGTGCTAATGTTATCAAATGCCTTTGCTGTTTAATAATCTGTAGCTTTATATTATCTAGCATGGAATTTTCACAGAAAACAATGATTGTATTTCAAGTACCTCTCACTGAAATTAAAAAGCAGCTGTTAAAAGATGAACATTTGGCAGAAGATGTTCTAGCAAATCTTGTAAGATACTAAATCATATTGGATTAACTATTTTCTGTCTAAAGAGTGGAGTCACAAAGAAAAAAGACTGCTGACCACAGAAGGCAAGGCCAGTCTTTAGAACGAGTGAATCACTAACAGACCTTTTAGTTTTAAGTGCCATTTATTCACCGATATGTTAAGTTATTTATATACAAAGCTTTCATTAATGTTGCCTGAAGAATGGGCCCTTTTTATTCCATTTTTAGCTCGTACTCAAGATTCCATTTCTCTTTCATTAATTATAGAATAAAATAATCCACCACAGACATTTTGGGCAGAATGGGGGTTTGAGACAGTTTTCAGTCTTGAGGAGCCATCTTCCTCTGTGGCTAGCCGTATAGCAGAGAGAAAGGGCTGTGACTGACGGCAGCGCCTGCCAGCACTGCCATTCGGGCCCTGCCTGGGAACCTGAGGAGGCAGAGTACGTGTGGCCTACTCACTCCAGGTTGACAGTGTCCCACGTATGTTCTTTGAGCTGGCCAACCACTGGCCCAACTAGGACTGAACCAGTGAGGAAGTGACATCATGACACTGTTGCTGGGCATAGCCAGTTTCAGCTTTAATATACCATATTGACAGGGAGGTTTTACATTGTTAATATAATTGTAAGTAAAACATGAAATGCTCCTTTTTAAAATTATCAGGCAGCATGTAAACAGCTTTTCCTCAGTTCCTATTCCTGGAATAGAGTGGGTGATGGGTGGGATTTTTAAATGGAGGGAGGATTCTCAGAGATAACCGAGGATGGCTTACAGTGGGGAACCCAGGCTTGGCTGAGGGGAAATGAAGAAAGGAGTTGACTCAGGCATGTCTGCTTTGCATATCATTCAGTGATAGGAGACAGTGTGTCTGCCTTTTTATGAAGTCATTAGGATGCAAGTGTTAGCTCAAAACAGCTTCATCACAACACTCTACATCAGTGCTGGTGTGACTGACCAGCTCAGAGGCCATCACCAGCTGATGAAGCTGAGAGTGGACCTGAGTGGACATAGGCAGGCCCAGATGGAGCCAGCAAATGGCCTCTGTCAGTATGAACCATTGGCTAACTTGGAACAGGAGCCATTTCACCAACAGTGGGGCCAGATCTCTGATGCAGTCAACACCACAGCCACGTGCCCCATGTGTGAAGTGTGAGGTGGCCAAACACACTGCATCTAATAGGAAGTTTTTTGTCTTTGTTTTAATTTTAGATTAAATCCCAGTGGGGCGATTATTGTGATTACCTGTACTCTTGCAAATGGTTATAAATATTAGTAGGGCACTAATACATGAGAATCTGGAAGCTCTGGGATGAAGTTGGCAGAGTTTTTCTTGTTGTACAGTGGTTGAAATTTAATCAATATATTGAAAATGGAAAGGCCACTGTCATTTTTAATACCACTTACAGTCTCTGTGGGCAGTGAAATGGTGCCCTGAACATACCTCAGCCCCACCTTACTTTGATTTTACACTTGACCTCCCATTGATCCTTCTCTGTTCTCATCTATCTAAATGAAAGAATACTTTAGCCCCATAAACCTCATTCTGGATAGAAATACATAATTCAAGAGGAATACTGATGTCAAAGAAGAAAAGGCACACCAATTTGTGTCAGCATTTGCTGTAAATTAAAGAGGAGTACAAGGAGAGTTTAATGTAATGTAGAGTTGAAATTAAAATAGAACCAATATTTAGGCATTCCTCCGCCTCTTTTTTCCCTGCTGTGACATGAAAGATTGACTTTCTCCCAGCCTAAGTATTAATGTATTTCATTTTTTTCTTTTCCACTGGGATTTTTTTCCCCATAAAATGTTACATGTTTATCAATGGCATCTGAATTTGAACTTTTTCACTGGTTCCATTCTTAATCACAACAGCAAAAGCCAGGGGAGAAAAGAGTTGGTTTCCCGTCATGCTCCACTCCCTTCATGTTTGCAGTCGAGAAAGGACCTCTGCCTGCTTATCTGCTGTCATGAGCTGTTGATTCCCCTGGATACTGATTCTTTAATGTGTCACCTCCATGGTGTCTTTTTCCAAAGCTGGAAAATCAAAAATAGATTTGAACAATGTACTGTTGTGTATGGTTCACAGGAACTTTTGGCACGAATCCACCAGTGTCCTTCCCTGTAAAGCAGTCCCGGGAGCTTCACATTTAGTTCTATCCAGCTGCCTTTTTGTTCAGAACCTGTTTGAAGCTCCTCAATCAGGTTTCCACCAGGGCTAGTTTTGCTCTTTACAGTTGCCTATTGTTTGGGGTCGGTGGTGGACTCCCTAGCTTGATTCTATATCACTAGACTTGGTTTCAAGTGATTCAGTCTTTCCAGAAATAAATTCCTCTGGAGAGTGGTTCTCAAAGTGTGGCCCCTGACACCCCAGACTAGCAGCATCTGTACCACCTGAGAATTCATTAGAAGTGCAATTCCTGGGCCCCACATTGGATTTAATAGGTCAGAAAGGCTGGGGGGTGGAGCCCAGAAGCCTGTATTAACTAACAAGCCATCCACGAAATTCTGACCTCTCTGCTCAAGTTTGAGAAACTCTGGTTTAGAAGACATGTTTGCTTCCAGGGAGGATTTTCAAAGATATGCTACAATTTTTGATGGTATTCCCAAAAAAGTTTCAAAATATTTTTTGGCAAAGATGGAAGACATGTATGGCCTCCCCAGAGGACAGTTAATGGGACTATGCTTTCACCAAAGGCACCCTAATTGTGCCATCTCACCATGTCTTCAAGCCATTTCTTACACTTGATTTCTCATCTGGAAAATGAAAGATTCACCCTTCTACCTCACAGGACTGTAATGAGATTCAAATTGAATCACATCTGCAAACATGCCTGGTAAACCAGAAAGTGCTCTGTAAACATGAAAGTCTAATCATTCTGCAGGCAGTATTCTGTGGTACCAGCATTACATTCAAGGATGTGAGTGGGAAAAGGCCTGTTAGCCAGATCCACCTTTCTGTCTCCATAGTGTCCTGGACATGGTGGCCATTTCAGCTCACCAGTTAAGAGAAAACCTTTGCCAGAGTAGTGACTGCAAGAGGCTAGGAAATATAGCCATGATCAGACATGCTGTTTTCCGAGTCTCAGGAAGCTCTGAGGATCAGTGAGGGCAGTGTTGTGTGAATGCTGAGGCTCTCATGCCCAATACATGGCTCATACCAGGCCTGGAAGGGTCTCTCCAGAAACCATCTACTACAGGGCTGTGCAAGGGAATCTTGACCTTTAAGAAGGAAGTTTATTGCTACACATTAATCATTACAGAAAACTGAAAAGAAAATCCCTCGAGCCAACCAAATCTATAGAAACTGAGATTTATAAACCAGACCAGTTAATGTGTCTGTTAGGGAAGAATGTGGGTTGATTTTTACCTCAGAGATTAGCTCTTACAAACAATTTCACCATAGGAGTTGTTAAACAGCAAGCTCCTGATGCATTTATAATTTAATTTGAAAACTTTGGTGAACACTTCTGAGCAAGAAGGAAGCTAAGCCTGTTGCCTCGGTTCTTATTAGGAATGAAGTTTCAGTAACACGGAGCAGTTCCCACTGGGCCAGTATCAGCTTCACTTTTCACACAAAGTGCCAGCTAACATCAAGAGATTAGGTATGAATATAATTGGTTAATTAGGGTTAAATTATTGGTTAATTGTGGCATAGTATGCTATTGGTCAACTCTAGAATTAAAATATGAAATGATTTTACTCAAAAATGTTATCTATTTAACAACTCTGTAGAGACAGCAGGTAGATTAGTGGCTGCTAGGCCTGGGAGTAGAGGGAAGAATGAAGGACTATGAGGTTGCTTTTAGGGGGGATGAAAATTTCTAAAATAGATTGTGGTGATGGTTGCTCAACCCTGTGACTGTACTAAAAACACCGAATTGTATGCTTTAAGCGGATGACTTGTATGGTCTGAATTATATCTTCAACCTGTATTTTTGGAGGGAGCTGGGGATGTAGCTCAGTGCTACAGCATGTGCTTAGCATGCACAAGGCTGTGGGTTCAATCCCTGGAACTGGCAGCAACAATAACCAAAAAAAAAAAAAAAACCTAATAGCCAGTAAATTATATAGCAAGGGAAAAAATTATGCGTACTGAAAAGACAAATGAAAATAATACCAAAACATTGCTGCATGTTTCATACTTGATTAATTTGAAATACTGATTATTTAAAATATATCAAGTCAGAGAATGTTTACTCTATTAATTAGAATACTTTTAAAAGTGGACTATCTCAGCCTAATAATTGAAATTTAACTATTATAAATTAAAGTGGCTGACAGTAGAAGGCAAAGTCATGGACATTGTGACATAATAGTTTGTCATGTTCCCTACAGATTTATTTAGAATGAAAATCAGCAGCACTTACACAATAATGATATGAAATCTGGATTCTCACTGTCCATCTTGATGGTCATAAACTATGCTGGTTTGGGAAGGTGGAGGTTGGGGAAGGATGTGATCTCATCTTTATGAGATAAATACATGCTGATAAGATGGACAGATTCAGGTGTGAGCTATGGAACTGGGCTCTTGTGTAAGCAGCGTCGCCTGTCTGTTCACCAGCGAACCCTCTGTCATATCTGCACAGGAGGCAGCCCCTGCCCTTTCCTGCCTTGGGAGGGTACTCAGCCACCCTGGTCTTCATCTTCTTGCTAAATTCCTCACACTGGGACTTGGGCCTTGCCCAGGGAGGTGGGGTCTGTAAACTGAGGCAAACAGGAGAGGAATTGATTGGGAGATGTGGGAACTACAGGCTCAGTGGAAAGAAAGCAAGGGCCACTAGCACCTGCCCTGTATGCCTTGCAACACAGAGCTTGCTGGTTAGGGCCTCTTTGTGTGCCAGAAGACCAGAGTGGGCCACTGGCAATTCTTTGGAACAAGAGACCCTACTTCAGTGTTTCCTAGCCCCCCCTTTTTTTTATCATTATTATCCCACTCCAACCCCAAAGAGCCTTTTAAGATTTTTTCCAATTGCCCTCTTTCTTCCCCCATAAATATTAATACCATAAATACTATACATACATACACACACACACACACACACACACACACACACACACAGAGGCATGCACATACTTGTATAATATTTTTTTTTTTTTTTTTTTTACTTTTTTTTTGGGTTCAGTGACCACTCCTCAGCCACAGCTCCCACAAGGGGGGCAAGGCAGGCAAGAAGGAGAGCCAGGAGCATATTCTGAACCCTTTTATTGGGGAGAAGCCATTCAAATGAGGCAAGGAGTCAGGTTTCAGGGCGTTGTCTAGCTGCTTTTTTTTTTTATTTCTCTCTTTTTTTTATTTCTCTTTTTTTTTCTTTTTGTTTTTCTTTTTTTTCTTTTTTTCTTTTTTTAATTTTTTTATTGTTGGTATACTGTGACTCTTTGAAAGCCACAAATTATTGTAATACCTAAAAATTTTTTTCACCCTCTTGCCGATTTCTGCCCCCTTGGAGATGTGGCCTCAATTGAAAATGCACACCCTTGATGAAACAAAGGCCTTAGTAGGCAAGGCCTTCCTGCTCACCCCTGGGGTGAGTGGTGAGGCTGGTCACATGGAAAAGGTGGATCAGATAGCCTGATGTCCATCACTAACCAGGATAAGCCCTGACCTCAGGTTCCAGTACTGCTAGAGGAATGTCCCTCCAAAATCACGTTGTTCTCACACCATCCCTTCAGCCTGTCTGTGACCCTCAGGACTCAGCACCACCCCTCCCTGGGTGTTAGCCCTCAGCCTGACAGTAGAGAACAGGGCAGGGCAGGGCAGGTGCAGGGCTCCTGGCAGGGGGTGACCCCCCTCCCAGGCAGTCCCCAGCCCCACCCAACCCAGCTCTGTGCCTCTGCTCAGAGCCTCTCATTGCTCACTCTCTGCTCCTTGTCCCCAAACGAAAGCAAGAGACTTCCCAGGCTTCCCCAGTCTCACACTGACTAAAGGAACCTTTATACTTTTCACCTTACATGACTTCAGTCTCCTCCTCACAACCTCTAAGGTCCCCAGAGTATGTCCCCTGGCCCATAAGGGAATGAATTTCAGAGATCCAAGCACATACAGAGGACCACTGATGGACTTCTCAGGAGTCTGGCCTCCCTTATAACCAAAGGCTACAGGATACTGTCGTCCGCTTCTCCCTGGCCACCCTTATTCTCCTCCAAGCCAGGAACAGAAAGCCAGTCCCCTTGCCCTAGGATCCTTCAGATAGTGTCCTAGGATCGTAGCCCCCTGTGTTCCTTAGAACCCTGTCTGGCCCCTTCAGACCTACGCCTTCACTCTAAAACCATGAGCAAAGTAAGGGGCCTCTGAGATGGTACACCTAGTCTAACCCACCCCTGTTGCACACTGGCTCTGTGCTGGGCCCTTTGACATAATTATCTAATTCAGTATTTACAGCAGCCCTCTAAGGTACATTGTACTGATAAACATACAGAAAGGTTGAGTAACCTGCCAGAGGTCACACAGCTGGCAAGTGGTAAAATCAGGACTTAATCCAGGTCTGTCTGTCCTTAAACCATCTGCAACATTGTTCCAGGTGAGAAAACATCTTCCCAGTTGTGTGAATAGAACTAAAATTGACAGGGCTGGGGTTGTGACTTTGTGGTAGAGCACTTGCCTAGCATGCATAAGGCACTGGGTTTGATCCCTAGCACCTCGTTAAAAAAAAATAATAAATAACAGGGGAACTTCACTGCAGGGAATCTGCCATTCTTATTTTATGTGGTGCCAGGGATCCAACCAAGTGCCTCACTTGTGGTAGGCAAGCACTCTACCACTAAGCCACAACCCAGGCCCAAATCTGCCATTCTTAATATGACAGAGCTAACAAAAAGGGACAGAAACGGGATTTAAAAGCTCTTTCTCTGCCACCTCCTCAAGGTTCATGACTCCCATACCTCTTGCCAATGAGGAATGAACCCTTTGAGGCAGAGTGACTTTTACTCTCTCAGGCCCAATCAAGATAATCATGCCTCAGCCTTCTGTACCCAGAAACAAGGCAGACACCCTTCTTAGAATTTGGATACCATATCAGAGCAGGACTGGCCAC